TTCGCATTTTCCTTTTTCTTCACTCTCTTTCTCCTCTCTTTTCAAGTTTCTTTTTATTTGCAATTAATCACACACTCTCCTTATATCTCTTCACTTTCACTCCTATTTGTCCATACACAACTCCAGGAACCAATTTAGACTTTTCCTACACACCTTTCTCGATGGATCGACATCTTTCTATACTATAACCTGATAGTTGTGTATTTACAACTTTGTATTATTTACCCATATTAGAAATGTTCAATAGGTATGTTAGTTAAAAATAATTATGTGATTAAAATTGCTCAAATAAGGACTCTTAATTTATAACTAAATTCTAATTTATGCTTTCCGTTTTAAACATTTTATCTTTTCAATGTTATGCTTTGTAGACACATTCACAAAGAGATATAAATTAGTTTTAGCCACACGTCAAAGTTTTAATGATGCTTTGATTATGAGATGCCTAATATGTATGATTTTAAACTATTTGTGCAATTCACCAAATGCGAGCCTTTGAGATGTTCAATAGGTATAATAATATTATGTGAGCTAAATTACTCAAATAGATATTGTTAAAAATTTTCTGATGTTTTGATTATGAGATGTTCAATATATACTATTTCAAAAGATCTAGGATCTTCATCACTTGCAATTATTTTGACAGACTTGAATTAAAATAACTACATCTCATCAGGATATCACTAGCCAATACGTATGAAGAAATACATATGAGTCCTGATAGAATGTGTAACTGAGGCAATTAAGCTAAAAAGTTTCAAATTGCAAGAGTAATCGAACGGGATCGAGAAGAACACTTAAATAATGAGGAATTTGATGCTCATTAAAAAAATCAAACAAATAATTTAAAGACACAATATATCTCTATTTACATGAAATACTTGAGAAGTTAACTATAAACCAATTTTATGTTTCAAAAAACAACAAGTCACTTTACCAAAGGGATGAATACATACTCACGTGAAATATATCAATTAGTCATTTCATAGCTTGGTAAACATAAATAGATAGAACATAAATATATTATCTTTAAAATATTTGCGAAATTATAAGATGACAACCTAGGATTGCAATGAGAATCAAATAATTTGTGCAAATTATACTTTTCATAAAAGAATTTTTATCTTCATGCACTAGTTATTATAAATTATACTTAATGTGATTTAACCATGTGAATTTTACTTTGGTTATGATAATTTTAATACTTTTGATTAACTATATAGGTATATGAACAATAGACTGTTTTACTTTTTCACATTGAAATAAAGTAAACATTTCACAACCAAGTTATAGTAAGAAAATAAATCAAAAGAAACGATAATGATATTTAACCACGTGTCACGCACGGACATCCAACCTAATAAGACAAAAATATCTAGAATATAATAATGATTTATATAGCCAACCCCAAAGGTTTAGAATGAAGGGTTTGTGGTGGTGGTTCCCTATCGTCTTAAAAAAAAAAAATTTCCCCACTGGCGAACTCCTCATGCTCT